GGCCAGCTGTGTGTGCACCCCAGCTCTTGCCATCCCATTCCTTGGGGGTGGGTGAAGTAGGTCCTCACCGCAAGTGGCAAGAGCTCCGGCCGCGAGGGAGCCCACCAGACTTCCGCCAGTTTTCTGAGGGCATTCTCTTGGGCAACTTGCCCGCTGCTGCGCTCCCCCGCAGAGGCCTGGGTTGTGATGGACTTCGCGGCAACTGACAGCAATCAGGTTTCCTTCCGCCAAGCAACATGTTCTGCTCCGCTTATCTCCCTGCTTGTGTACACTGCTGAGGGAAGAGCCCTAGTAAATCACCTAGGCAGGGCTTGTTTTAATCAAACTGCACTGGGCTGGATTAGATAAGTTTGCCCACACGCTTCTCTTATCTGGCCAGATAGGGAGCTCAAGGGACCGCGGTGGCTGCTCTCTCCCTGGCCAGGAGGCTGCGTGCGCTTCCGGCCGACCACCTGCTCACGCGGCCGCATGGCTGGGCAACCAGGGCAGGGGCAGGGCTGGCCTCCGGCACACTGCCCCGCCAGGATCCCCCAGAGCTTTCCGTGGGGCATCCAGGGCAACGGAGGGCAGGGAAGTGGCAGGCACCCTTAGTCTCCACCCGCAGCAACCCCCCTCTGAGTGGAGGAGGGTTCCAGCAGACTAGCCCTGCCCTGGCTTGGGCTTGAAGCCCCGGCTGGCTGGCTGGCCGGCTGGAGGAGGGAGCCGCAGGGCTCTCTGGAGCCTCGGCAGCCCTTGGACCGGCTTGTGGGCCTGGGAGGTCTCGGCCAGCCCTCGGGTGGGAGGCACCCCTCCCTGGGGCCCAAAGTGCCACACACACTGGCCATGTCGCTCTGCATCTTCCCCTTCAGTGCAGCAGCACAGCAGTTCTCTGGGGCGGCCTACTGAGGCTGAAGTCGTGGGGCGATTCCTCTCTGCGGGACTTGGGCAGAAAACCTCCTGGCGGCTTGTGCCAGCCTTGGGGCCATGGGGCACACCACTGCCCGCCCTGCTCCAGGGGCGCTTGCAGCCCGCGTGGGGTCAGTGGGCAGCTGCGTGGCCGGGCCGCCCTCCTGGCCCTGCTGGGCTCTCACCCTCGGTGCTCCCTCAGGACTTGCCAGAAGTGTGCATGTGTCCTGCCATCCTGCAGCGCATCGCGTTCACACCTGTGCATCGACCTACCAGTTGGTGCTTTAGGGACAAGTTGTGCCCAGGGGCGCAACGCCCGCTCAGATGTGCACAAAGCTGTGTGAGGCCCACCTGGGACTCTGCACAAAGAATTTGGGGACATGCTGGCTGCATGCGGCTGCCTCCAAAAACTGCTAGTTGAAGCTGAGGCTGTGCCTGGAACCAGCCCTGTGAGTCATGCTGGTTTGAGCATCTCCCGGAAAGGCTCTGCTTGCCGGGGCATTAGACCCCAGGACAGGTTTGGGGAGGAAAGACAGCGGCCGCCATGAAAGATGGCACTCACCTCTGGAGACGCAGTGCTGGCCACCCATTTGGACAGCCTTCAAAGGGTTCTGTGCCGCCCCCAGTGCTGGGGGCTGTGTGCCCCCGTGCAGACGGGGAGCCTGGGTGAGAGGGGGCTGGTGTGGCTTTCCCACGGGCAGCTGCTGGCCACTCTCCGGACAGAAGGCTGGATGGAGCGAGCTTTTCCCACGGGAACAGGACAGGGGCCCTGTGTTTGCCCCACCCCCCACAAGCAGGCCAGGCCTGGAAATGGGGGCAGCAGCGGGGAACTGCAGTGGGCGCCCCACTCGTGAAGATGCATTGCAGAGTTAGTGCGCTTGCTTATTGTTCCAGGTTGGGTTTGGTTGCTCTCTGCTGCTTTTGCACCATATGGGGTGGAGGAAACGTGGGCCCTTTCTCCAGACCAGGCGCTTGTGGGGAAGCTGCCTCAGGGGCCTGCTCTCTTCTCTGAGCAGAGGGGCAGCCATGGGCAGGGGGCCGACTGCCTCCCATCCTCAGTTGCTGGCTGAGGCCCGCCTGCCTTCCCCCCTTGCCTGCCTGCCTGCCTGTCCACGGCTCATCTCCACACCCTACGGATGCATTTCTCTGTGGATGACACTGGTGTGGCTCCCACGACAGGAATTGCCCCAGGCAGCCTGTGGCATGCCTGCGCGCCTTTCCCACCCTGCTGTGGCTCAGCATGAGCGAAATGATGCCTTGGCCTCGTGACAGGCGGGGTCACGATTGGAACACCCACCGTGCCCCAGGCCTGGAGCACTGGCAGCCTGCTTGGGGGAGATGTGCTTGTGTGCATCTGCGCATGAGTGTGTGCGTGCAGCCCGCAGCATGAGCTGCCGTTCTTCTCCGGCTCTTGATGTGTCCCTGTTAATGGTTAATGTTGCCATAAACCTGCTGAGGTTTGTAATCGCTGGGAAAGGAAGCTATCAGCCAGGCCATCAAGAGTGCCGAGAACAGCGTGTACCCAGGCGAAGGGTGGGGGCGTTTATTTCCATTCCTTCCTCTTTCAGCCTCCCCTCCTTCCTTTCTCTCTCCTGACTTGCAAGACACGCTCTGCCCTCCATCCAGGGAGGCGCTGGCCTCACTTTCAGCAGAGGAGGCTGTGCCAGGGAGTGCTCAGCTGCCTCACGCAGCCCCAGGGCCCCCTGACCTGACTGGCCCGGTGTTCGGGAGGCCTGTCCACATCCGCATGCGCTGCAGCCGGGGGCCCAGCAGCCACAGCCTGGCAGCAGTAGCCACGGAGCACGAGTGGGGTGGAGCAGCAGTCACCTTCCCCCCGCACTGCCCCGGCTTCGCGCTGCCGCCTCTGCCTCTCTTCTCATGGAGGAAGATCTTGGGAGAGCTTCGCCAGGCTTTCTGACCAGCAGCCCCCACATCTGGAACTGCTGAAAGAGGCGACGAGGAGCGGTATATTGCCGAGCCCTGCACTCACCTCTGTGCCCTTGCACTAGGAGGGGCCCCAGCTTCCTGCAAGTGGGTGCACGTTGGCTTGCCAAAAGCCTCCGACAAAATTACGGAGGCAACCGAGTCAGAGGGCGCTGCCCCTTGGGAGGGGGAAGATCCACAGCAGGGGCCCCACACACGCCATCCTGGAGCCGAAGTGGCCCTTGCAGACAGCAGTCCCATGATGCATTTAATTTCGCAATGCACAAAGAACAGCCGCGATGAGCGCACCCCAGGTGTGCCAAATCCCAGGTACCCAAGCTCCATGGTCATGGTGACAGGTTAACAGACATACTATCAACTACTGCAATTCTGCTCGTGATCTGCACCCCCCCCCCCGGTGGCCATTCTTTATCCTGAACCAGTCAGTCCAGGGGCCCATTGCTCTGAGGGCAACCACTTGTGCCCTGGCCAACCAACGGACTGGCCCTCCATGGGCAAGTGCGATGGGCGACAGGAGGCAGGAGCAGCGCCCAGGAGCAGCCCAGCCGCTGGCACTGAAACGGGACCTGTGCTTGGGTCCCATTGGCTCTGCCTGCAGCTGCTAGCTTTAGGGGGCCGCAGGGCAATTGGCGGTGCGCATGGCAGGGGCTTGATCTGATGCCCTCCTTGGCCTCTTCCGTTCCATGAGTCTAGGATCCTGTGAAGGTGGCTGCTGGAGAGGCTGTGTTGGCTCCAGCAGCCAGCAGCTGCCCCAGACTGGCGAGGTTAATAGAGTGGCAATGCGGGGCAGGCCGCGCAGGCTATTTTTATGTGTGATGGTTGTGAGATAAGCAGGCGTTTTGTTTCTCATCTGCAAAGTACATAAACAGTCGCTTGGCGAATTGCAGTGCCAAAGTCACGTCCACGTGTTGCTGCAGGCGGACCTGCCTCCGGCACTTGCACATGGTCAGCCCTGGGAAGGGGGCACAGGGAGCCGCTGCTGGGTGGGGGATATGGGCCCTGGACCTGGGTAGGGCCAGCCTAGGAACTGCTTCTGCCGCTTCCCTTGTAGACCGCAAGTGGGAAGCTTCAGAGAAGCATGTCACAGAGTTCAAATGCAACGCACAGGATGCGGAGCGCCCGGAGCATAACACGGCCAAAGTTTCAGTGTTCCAAGAAACTGAGGGTACATGATAAAACGAACCCAGAAGACTCTGGGCCAGCTGCCAAGGGACAGAATGTGTGGCGAGGAAAAGGGACAAGAAGCTCAGAGGACGAAAATGACAGGGAAAGCATCCTTCAAGCAGCTGCTCCAACTGGAGCGTGAGGCACGGCCAAGAGGAGAGCGGTGATGATGTGCACGGAGGGACCAGGCTGCAGGACGCCCCTCGTATGACTAGCGACAGCTGTGCTGGGCTGGTCGGGATGTTTGCTTGCTGGCATCGTTGTTGTTATCCTTACTATTATTTTCTCATTGATCTTCCGAGGGAAACTTTGTGAGAAGAGTCTGGAAGGGTTACTTTCAAAGAAGTCTCTGGCAGAAATCATATTAACTCATAGTTCATGTTTCCTAACCAGAAACATTAGGAACGTCGTAGCATGCTAAGACTTTGGGCTTCTCCATTTGGGCAGTGAAATGTAACTGTACTGGGCAGGGAAGGGCTTATCACCCTTTGAATCAGCAATTTTTTGAAAAGGGAAGCCCTTTTGGAGTTTGCAACTCAGAAGAAGCAAACGTATTTTTACTAAAAACTACGGCGGCCTTGTGGCACCTTAAAGACGAACACGCATATTCCTGCCGATGTGTTCACTTGCCTCATCACATACACAAAGCGCTCATCTCTATGTAGCAAATCCGTATCCAAATGTGAGGGAGATGTAAACTTTGTTCTGTGTAAAGATGGAAATGCAAACTGTATAGACATGGACAACTCTTGTCATTCCCAAAAACATTGCTGGGTAACAACACAGAGCCATTTGAAGATCCACTTAGCCAGTGGAGTGAAAAACTATCCTCTTGGGACCACAGGAAATAGAGTCGACTCTCAGCAGGGCCTTCTTGGCAGCTGCCTCTGAAATTTTAACAGCGGTCCCTTAAGTCCTCCTTATCTGGAGGCTACAGCAGGCAAACGCAGGCTGAGAGAGGGCTGGTGCTTCGTCCTTTCCAACCCTCTTCTTTTGTTGTTCCTTAGGGTGCGATTCTGGCTTTGGAAAGGCGGCTGCCCAGCACCTAGACACTCTGGGACTCACGGTCTACGCCAGTGTGCTGGACTTGAAGAGCCTGGGGGCAAAGGAGCTTCGGCAGAGCTGCTCGTCAAAGTTGACACTGCTGGAAATGGACCTGACCAAAGGGGAAGACATACAGAGAGTCCTGCACTTCATCAAAGCCCAGACGGTGATGACAGGTGAGTTCAGGCCAACGTGGCCAAGAACAGGCTGGGCCTCGCTGGCGGCAGGCAGGGGTTGCTTCCTGGCACACCAGCCCTTCCCTCAGGGGGCGCACCACCAGATTAAGGCTCTGTCCTGTCAGGATGCCCCAAGGACTTCCCCCCTTTGGTTCAGCTCCAAAGAACAGCCCCGCAGGAGATCACGAGAGCATCCCCACCTTACCCGGCCACAGATGCTGCTGTGAGCACCGCTCCCCCTCTTCCCTTTCCAGCAGACCGAGGCAAAGGGCTTCCAAAATATGGCCGGTTGCTGATCGAGCATGGCCAGGCGGGACTGACTGCACAATACCTGGTGCACAGCAAGGAGCTGATAGCAAGCATCATCTCTCACAGTACTGATCCCTCTGGCCGGGGAGTTTGCTCCTGCCCCAGGTGGAATCTCCTTCCCGCCTTCCCTGGAAGGGGCTGGCTACACCCTCCAAGAAGTCCGTGCTGCATGTGGGCCGGGTGGGGGGAGCGGTGGACCCTGCTGAGCCGGTATTCTCACCTGGCTGGGCAACAAGCTGAGGCACTCACAGCCCTCCGGCTTGGGCTCTCCTTGAGCTCCAGTGTGGCCACGAGCCGGAGGGGGTCCGGGCCTCGCCAGCCCCTTGCCCTTGCCAAGTGTGGCCTCTCAGGAACGCAGTCCAACCTCCCCTCCATCTGGGCTGCATTCGGTGCCTGAGAGCTTGGGCCTGGAAAGCTGCACGTTGGGAGGGCAGGCCAAGTCCCCGCAGGGGCAGAGAGACGAGCTGCTGGATGCTCCCCGCAAAGCTGCCCACCGGAGCTGGACAAGGCCGGCTGCCTCACCCACTGTAGCAGTGGAGTCCAATCCCGGTGGATGCAGGACGTCTTTTGTGGGCAGTCCCTCGCAAGTGATCGCCGCGGCCTGAAGCATCCACAGCCTCCCAGGGGCTAGCATAGCACAGGGCCAGCGCCACAGCGCTTGCTTCCAGAAAGTGCCTTCCAGAGGGGCTCAACACCGGCAGGGGGCAGTGGGGCTGCGAAGGCTCTGGACGCAGAAGGGGCAGGGCAGCATCTGGGCCAAGCGCCACAGTCCTGCCTGAGGCCTGAGGAGCCGCCATAGTCAGTAGGGTGTCCCGGGGCCGGCTTTTCCTGCCAGGCATTTTAGGAACTGCTCTGGCAGTGGTGTTGGGTCTGCTTGCACTGTTTCACCCCTTGCTGATTACCATCAGATTCTCCTGCTGTTCTTGTCCAGTTTACTTGACCACTGAGATTCTGTTACTTCGTATTTTAGATGTTTACTTGTGTGCTGCCCAGAGAACTCTGCTTGTGGATGCTTTGGCCATGCCACTAGCGGGCTGGCTTCTGTGCCTTTGTGGGAGCAGGCCTCAGTGTCCATCTTTGCCCCCTCCTGTCTTGAACCGCAGGGCTCTGGGGCCTGGTGAATAACGCGGGGTTCAATGACAGCCTTGCCGACGCAGAGCTGACGCCGCTGCAAAGCTTCCGTACCTGTATGGAGGTGAACTTCTTTGGCCCACTGGCCTTGACCAAAGGGCTCCTACCTTTGCTACGCTCCTCACAGGGAAGGATTGTCACCATAAGCAGCCCGGCAGGTAAAGGGAGCTCGGAAGCCTTTATGTCGGCACAAAATCCTTCTCAGGATCCACGGAGAGAATACAGCAGTGCTGCTGATGGCCCACCGCCCCAAAAATGTTGGTGCACCCACTTACGCCACTCTCGCCTCTGGTAAAGCAAGCTCTGCATTGCTTCAAACACCCGCTTATCTGGAGGCGACAGTGCTGGGAAGAAGCCCAGGTCTGTGCCTGGGAAAGAGACTCACAGTGCTCTCAAAACGGCTGCCTGTATTCCGGGCCCCACTCTGGTTCCCTCCGGTTCTCCTGTCTGTTGCAAGGCTTGCTTTGCAATTTGGCCGGTTCAGAAATGGCCAAAATTGTGCAGTTTTCTGTGAAGTCACTATCGGGTGCTTGCGCGCACTCGCTCACATGTTCCAGGCTGCTGCAGTCAAGCCAATGCCAGGCACGGCCTTATTTCTGCACTGACCAGTTGCTGCTCCGAGGATGGTTTGCAGTGGCCCAGTCCGCTGTGTGGAGACGGCCGTGGGGAGGGCAAACCTCTGCTCCTCACGGGTTGGAGCGCACCCAAGGCAAGTCGGCTGTCTGGGACCCCGGGCAGTCCCAGCAGGCGACAGTGGCTCCTCCCCACTTCTCCTCCCAGGCAGCATGCCATATCCCTGTTTGGCTGGCTACGGGACGTCCAAAGCCGCACTCAGCCTCCTCATGGACACGTTCCAGTGTGAACTTGCCTCCTGGGGGATCCGAGTGAGTGTGATCTTTCCTGGGTACTTCAAGACAGGTAAGAGAAGGCTGATGCTCTCCACCCTCCCGGAGCTTTGTGGTTTTGACAGCAGGGCCTCTTTCCTTCTGATGGATGCTTCTGTATGAAGCCAGAGTTGCAAGCAGGCGCCAGCGGTGCCCTGCAGCCGATTCTGGGGGAAGGCAGTGAGGAAGGGCCCTTATTTCATGGGGGCTGGTCTGCCACTGGGCACTGCCTTGTGGAGGCCTTGGGACGGAGGAGTTCCCCCAGACCCAGGAGCATGATGCAGGTGATGCAAAGAACAAGAAAGCTTCACATCAGCAAGTGCTTACCTTTTCTCCTGTCTGGGGAGCACACAGTGTGCGAAAGGCGCTGAGAGCGCGTTGCCCCTTCCAGCACTGGCGCTCGTCACACATGTCCTGTCCCAGGCCTGGCTGCCCATTGGAGTATTTATTCATTTATAAAATTTGTATGCCGTCCACTTACTTATGTCTCTGGACAGCTTACAACACAGATAAATTGACAACCCACTCTGGTTGCAAGTTAATAAAATGCAACAACAAAATTCCATATTAAAACATATTAAAATATTGATTAAAGAAAAAGGTCTTGACCTGGCGCCAAAAAAAATATGACAGCGCCAGGCGGACCTCTCTGGGGAGCGCATTCCATAGTCGGGGCGCCACCACAGAGAAGGCCCTCCTGCGGGTACTCTATCTCCTGACCTCTTTCACGGAGGGTTCCCAGAGGAGGGCTTCTGCTGCCGATCTCAGGGGGCGGGAGGGCAAACAGGGAAGGCATTCCTTTAGGTGTCCTGGTCCCAAACCATTTAGGGCTTTATAGGTAATAACCAGCACCTTGAATTGAGCCCGGACTTCGATAGGAAGCCAATGGAGCTGATAGAGGACTGGGGTTATATGCGAATAACGCCCAGTCCCCGGCAGCATCCTGGCAGCTCTGTTTTGGACCATCTGAAGTATCCGGACTGTCAGCGGGTGCGGCAGCGTCTGCAGCAGCCAGTCAGTCCCCGGGCGGTGGCGGTGGTGGACCTGCCCTGTCCTGGGCTGGAGCAGTCCTGTGGCCCTAGCCACAGCATTGCTGCAGAAGCACTCGCCACCGCTCCACTTCCCTTTTGGGCTTAGCCAAGCTTTGCCTTGATCATACGACCTCAGTTCCTCAGAGCGGCCTCCCTTTATTTGCCGTCCTTATTCCAAGAGGCACAGGAAAGAACGAGGTGTTGCATGAGAAATGATGCTCCATCCTCTCTGCCATTTGAGGCGTTGTGAGCGGAGCCAGCAGGAGCCGGGGGTCAGACTAGATGGTCCAGGAGGCCCCTTCTGACTCGCTCTGTTTCTACGTGTCAGCAAGCACTGCCTGTCCTTTTGCAAGCTCTTGCGACTATTCCAAGGATGCCAAGGCGCTTGGGAGGCCCAGTGCAATGGCATAAGCAACCTGGGCAACACAGTGCCCAGCTCCCATCTTACCAGAGGTGCTAAGAGGGCCGCCACCTGCCCCCCTCCCCTGCTTGTTCTTTTCAGGCAGCACCTGCAACACCGATTTCTGGAAGGAAAGGAAGGATCAGCTGCTGGCAGAGCTGCCCCCTGGGCTGCTGGAGGCCTATGGAGAGGAGTATGTGGAGGAGATCAACAGGCAGTTCCTCAGCTACATGAAGCTGGCAGTGGAGGACCTCAGCCCAGTGGTGGAGAGCATCACAGATGGCCTCCTCTCTCCGCAGCCTCTGGCCAAATACTACCCAGGGCGCGGCCTGGGGCTCATGTATTTCATCCACCACTACCTCCCCTGCACCGCCCGGGACCGGTTCCTCAGGGCCTTTTTTATCCACCCGCAGCTGCCCAGGGCCCTGCAGCCAAAGCCCTGTGAAGCACCCCAGAAGCCTTGAGGGACTTCTGTGGCCACTTGCTCTGGTGCTGAGCCAGGAGAAATGCCTGGAGAGACTCCCCTTGCACTCCCCTTGTGGCCTGCCCGAGCAGTGGCTGTGGCCTCCTGCTGTCCTCTGCCCCGAGGGGATGCCCCAGCCTTTGCTGCCCATGATGCCGGCATGGCATGTCTGTCCCTCAACAGCAGCAAAAGCCCCCATGTTCTCACCCAGTGCTGGATACGGGAGCTCTTCTGCTGCTTCTCTACAACTTGATGTTGTGATATACTGCCAAAAACATTGGCCAGGTTGGACCAGTCTGCCTTCTCTAGTCGCTTGTTGGCCAGTGGCTGACCTCCACGAGAAGGCCCTTTTCTTTCCTTGCTGCTTAACCAAAGCTGCCTCTGTTGCTTGGGGCATTTTGCAGGTTGCTCTGCCCTTTGCAGTCACCACCCCAGTGGAGAAGTGGAGCCGAGGGTGCCTTGCCACCTGAGACCAGCAGACACATGCATGCGGACGGCCCGAGACCCTTTCCCAAATCTGCAAGGACAGGATTGTCTCTGAGAAATAAAGCACAATTAAAGCTATTGCATGGTCTGGCTGCTTGAGTTGCTGTCTTGCAGGGGCACGGCAAGAGCCTGGCTCCCTCTCATGTGCAGGGAGAAGAGCCAGTTTCGTGGACCAGCACCAGCATGGGCGCATGGGCTGCCTGTCCTCCCTGCACACTTCCTGGAGCCAGCAGGAGCCCACTGGCTCCTCCCATGTGGCTCAGCGCACGAACACCAAGGAGCTCAGGTCCTAGCTGGGACGGAGCGCTGCCTCACAGGAACAAGCGAAACCAGGAGAGGTGCTTTGTTTCGGGAGGTAATTTATTATCACACCTTAGAGAGGGAAATAAGCAGCAGGCAAACACGTGGAGCGCAGTTGAGTCATGGAGCTGAAGCACCTCTTGGACAGAGGCTTGAAATATTCTCTTCAAAAACACATCAGCCAGGAAAGGCCGCCTCCTCCTCCTCCTCCAGCAGGCTGCAGCACTTCCTCGTGCTAGAGGGACAGAGGCCAGGGCCTGGGCAGCTGGGGAGCTGCTTCTCCAAGACCAGGATCGGTTCCCAGGTGGAGGCACAGCCGTCCCGCTGAAAAGCAGCAGGGATGGCAAGAGCGGGGGAGGGATGGGAAGCAACGAGCAGCACGTGGAGAGCCACAGGGGTCATGTCTGGAGCCGGCCACAGAGCCTGGGGACTTCAGCTAACTCCTGGCAGAAGACGACAGCCAGGAAAGCCTGGGGCACTCCAGTCCGGCTTTGGATATGGTCTGATCTTCCTGGTGGGGCCATTCCCAGGCATGGCCCTGCAGCCTAGAGTAGAGCAGCAAGGCCGGAGCCCAGCAAGAAGCTGGGAAATGGCTGCCTCCTCCCATTTCCATGGGCTCGGGGGACGTTCTGAGTTGCCCTGCACCTTCTAGGCCTGACAGAGGATGGAGAGGAGCTGCCCCTTCCTTTGGGAAGCATTTGGGAACAGCACCCTGGAAAAGAGCCGCATGAACAAGGGTGCAGAGTCTTCTAGGGAGCGCCAGATGACAAGCCGCTGCCAGGAAGGCCCTGCTCCTTCCAGCATGCCCATTTCCCACACTTCCCCAGGTAAGGGCCTGGTCTTCCAGGGCCACTAGCATGGGGGGCAGGGGAAGGCCGCATGCAGACAACCCTGAACCCAGGGGACTGCCCACTCAGTGGAAGTGCCACCGCACCCCAGGGCCCGCCAGCCCTGCCAGTGGGCCTTTCAAGAAGTGGAGTCCTGGGTTCTAGAAGGGCCTTCTGTGAAGACCACCCCTGTCCACTGCAGGACTGGCTCCTCCACGGTCCTGGGGTAGCAGAGCCAGGAGAGCAAAGGCAGTTCAAGGGGGCAGCACAACCCGTCCCCGGATGCACCCTGTGCAGACACGCGCTCCTCGCTTCATCATGTCCAGACACAATCCAGGGCTGGTGTTCAGGAGCCTCGCAACCCAGCCCTTCCTCTGAGCAGGACACACTTCTGGCAAGACAGAACAACTGAGGCCGATCGACACACAGCACATACAGTGACATGTTACAACTATGGGGGGGACGGGACCCTCCATGAGAGCCAGGGGGCCTTGAGTGTCCTGACAGCAGCCTCCCTTTCCTAAAGAGCTACCTTCGGGACAGGATGGGGTGCCAGGAATCTGGGAGCTTTGCCAGGCAGGCAGGCAGGAAGTACTTAGAAGATGGGAATGTAGTTGTCAATCTTTGCTCGGTGGCGCTGGGCGATGCATTCCGCAATCCATACGATGTTGCGGCACTCCTGCTCCTTCAGCTTCACGAAGGCGTAGAAGACACCGAAGTGGAACTGGTTCAGGAATGCCAGCTTGTTCAGCTTCACCTGTTGAGAGCAGAGGCCGGTCAGGCAATCCTCCCAGCCAGACCCAAATTCCCGCAGGAAGGGTCCCGGCAGAAACCAGAAATTCACTACCAGGAGATGCCGTGGGGCCACCAGTGTGGCTGGCCTCAAAGGGAGGGCTTATTTGTCGTGCCACTTGTAGGCTCTCTCCAAACCAGAGGCCAGTGCTGGAGCACGAGGGGGCACTCCTGCTTCCCACTGAGCCTCCTCCAGGGCACTGAGAGCAGAACCCTGCTTAGAAGGCCTCCAGAGTGGATCTCACCCTGTTCTAATTGCCCTGTGATTGTGCTCAATCTTCTAAGGCACTCGGGGAGCCCCCACTTATGGGTGGCCACATGCAGGACATCCGACAGGAGAAGAGACGCAGGAGTACACCAAAGGGCAGCACTTCTCATCGGCTAGGCAGAGCCTGAGCAGCCCGTGGGCCGCAAGGAGAGGGCTGGGCCAAGGGTGCAACCGGACAGCCGGGTCCCACAGATAACACTGCTCTGGGCCTCCTGCTGACACGCCCCGCCCCCCGGTCCCCTCTGGTCTGTTCAGGATCCATCTCCTGATTCATCGAGGCAGCACAGACTCCCTTGTCTCTGACCAAACTTGGATTTCAGGCAACCCATTGGCTTAGGGAGAAGCCAGGGCCTGGAATGGCCGCGTCCGAGTGGCTGGAGCGGGCCTGGCCCCATAATCACACTTTGGCCACCACAGTGACAGACAGTTCACACTGAGCACAGCTCTAAAGCTTCAAAAATCACCACTGGCAGAATTACAAGGATAGAACGTGCGGCCGATCGCTCCCGGCAACCTGCCCAGCCCTCAAGAAGGAGAGCTCCAGAGGCATGGCCCTGCCACCATCAGGGCCTCCCACAAGGCCAGCCAGGTCCCCAGCTGCTCTCTGCGCCAACACCCATGCCACCTGCACCCGGCAAGCGGTCCAAGGGAGCACTCACACTGCCCGCCCCTCCACTTCACCCTCACGACAACAAGCACCCGTCCCCTAAACTGGCCATCAGCGCAGAAGATCCACTGGGCGAGTGGGCAACGTGGATCACACGGGCACAGCAAACGCTCCCAGCAAAGAGGCCACCTCACCTCGTGCTCAAAGAATCTGTCCTCCAGCGTCTTGTCTCCAGGATTGCTACCTGCTCCTTCAAACAGCAATTTATATTCCTGCGAGACAGAAAGGTAACTGCAGGTTTTGTGGTGACGGACACCCTTCTAAGCCAGTGGGGACATGCGCTGAACTGGGGTATTGAACAGAAAGTTGAGAGTCCCTGTTAATACCTCATTTTCTCTGTGTTGGGAAACATACGACTAAAGCGACGCTGCAGAGAAGAGCAAAGCTTAGGGAAGACGGACGCCTCTTCAGCAGCAATGAACTGTAAGGAGGAGAGGCAAACCTTTAAAGGTTGAGAAGCCTCAATGCACATGAGGGGGGCAATGGAGAAAGGAAATGGGGCAACTCTGCCTGGTTCATCTCTCCCCCCCCCCGCCCCGTAGAGAGAAGGCATCCCCGTACCCAGTGCTTGAACCGTCAAGAGCCCCCCTGACCCCGCTGCCACTGGGGAGCTTTCGGAGGTTCGGTTCACAAGATGAGAGGAAAATGGAGTGCAGAGAAGTGTGGGGCAGGGCTGTTCATCAGCAGAGACACACCAGGTCCCACCCCACCTGCTCAGGGGCTCCTCACACTCCCCCGCAGCAGGCCAGCCAACTCACAGGCGAGATTGCGCAGGTGGAGATGCAGACTGATGGCAAGTCATTGCCACTGGACTGCTAGGAACAGCCTGGGGCGGCTGTCAGCAGAGAAACACAGCCTTCCAGGATCTCCCGGGCCCCCTGCTGCAAGAGCAGGAGCTGCCCTGCAGCCACGGGTGCTCCTGCTCAAGGCTTCCCCTGCTCTGGTGTGCAGAGGAGGATAGGGACAAGCAGGTGTGGAGGACGCTGCTTCCCCTCGAGCATGTCCCAGCCAGCTCTGGCTGACAACACACACCAGAGTGGATTAATTCTGTATGGCGCTTTCTTGTGCTAGTTCCTGTTGTTCTGACTCCAGGGCAGTTTTATGAGCAGCACTTTGCAGAAAGGGGTGCGCAAATGGACCCTAGTTCAAAGTCCAGAAGCCATAGTAAACCCAGAGCAGGGCCCATGTGCCTGGAGGTCTGGGCTCTGGGCTCTCCAGCCAGCACTCCCACGTGCTATGCAGCCCCAGTGCACCTTCCCCCACCCCCCCACCCCCCATCTTGGAGCAAGGAAGCTTTAAAGCTCCTACCGGGTAGTAATCAGCCACGGCTTTGACTTGCTCATAATCATCGGCTCTTGCAAGCTGGGCCAGACCTTCAGGATAAAGTTTGCCACAGTGCGGGAAGAGCTTTGCGCGGTCTTCCTTGGACAGCTCTGTGCCAAAGGAGTTGATGGTGATGATGAAGGCTCTGCGGTCAGCTTCGAACTACAGGAGAAAATGGACAGGGCAACCCTGTGAGGCAGGGCAAGAGCTGGGAGGGGAAGGGGAGACGGGGTGGAGGAAATACCCGACTGCCAAGGTGGCTCTTCTTTGGCACAAGCAAGGGGGGCACCAAGCCCCCCAGGTGTGGGAACTGTGCTGCAGCTCCTCAGCTGACCCAGAGCCACCGTCGTGAAACCTTCTTTGCCTCTCAACCAGAGGCCACTGCAAAGCAGTTCGAGAGAAGCAGAGGGCTGAACACACCACGGCAGCGCACCACACCATGTGGTCATCGAGCTAGTGGAAGCGAGCCCTGCGCTTGTCACCAGGGCAGGCCTGGCAGCTGCCCGAACCAGGCACGACACTCTCGCCTCCGCTGCGGCAGGGGCGAAGGGGAGACTGGCAGCCCTGGCAAGTGCTGCTCAGGCCCTGTGGCGGGGGAGCCGGCAGCAGTGCTGACTGGCCAGGCAGAGGCAGCAGAGGATTCTGCCGCGCCTGCCAGGTGGCTCACTTGCAGGGGCTTGGCCCACGATGGGTCAGGCTGCCTGGGCTCGGTTGCAAACAAGCCCAGCTGCAAGCCGCGGTTTGCTGGGGGACCAGAAGCCAGCCTGACAAGCTCTCGCAAGTACACAGGGCAGGACCACCCACTGGGTCCGATGAACCACCCGAGACCACCATGGCTTACAATCTCAGCCCCTGGAAGAACAGCAAGCTAAACATCAGGTAAAGGGAGAGTTTAAAGAGCTGCATTTGAAAGCTGAGAGAGCAAAGATGAATTGCATTTCTGGAAGGTGCACATTTCACTTTTAAGAAATGTTTCCAACCTTTTTTTAGGCTGAATGTAGAATCAGACTGTCCTTCAGACTTTTTAGAACACAGAGCATCTGAGCATCTGAGCTCAAGCATCTCTCTCAGCTTGTGCTCAGGCTGCCACGGCAGCAGACCTCCAAATGGGTCAGATCAGCTTTTTAAAGCCGTTAAGTGGGGCAGTTGGCTGAGCACAGGAAAGGCCGATCGCCAGCGAAAGGGGACATCAGACCTTTCAGCACCAGGGGGCAGTCCTGGCCTCAGCAGCCAGAGCACGAGCCACAGCCCGTGCGCACGCCAAGCCCTGCGGCTGCTTGAGCAGGCACCTACCTCCAGGATGGGGCACATGGCATCTGCCGTTGTGCCACTGAGCATCTTGCAGAACTTGTAGAAGGACTCGAGGTAAGCCTGAGGGCAGGAAAGGCAGCAGAATCAGGCCAGTGCAGGCAAGCACCCATGGCACAGACATGCAGGGATGCAGGACTCCCGCTGGGCGCTGGGCCTCATGAACTGGCCATGGCTGTGGAAGGACGTGCAGCACTGCACTCGGGCTCCCTCTGCTGTGAGCCCACGTGGGCCGCAGCACCCGGCAGGTCTGGCTGCTGCACCTCGGCGGGAAGAGCCCTGATCCACTCATGGTGGTGGCAGGGAGGCCGGCACGTTCCCTGGCAGCAGCGCCCGCCAAGGCAGCACCTAGGCCAGGCCTCAGGCAGCGGCACAGGGCAGAGATGCCACATGCATGGCCGCCCGCTTTCCCCAAGCAGGCCGGGCCGCCCTTCTCCATGCCTTGCCAGGGGTCACGAGTGAAGAAAATCCGTGAGGGAGCCATGGGCCTATCTGGGGGCAACATGTCTCCTTGCCCAGCATGTGACGCTGATGTGGTGCCCCCGAGGTGGGCCTGCACTGCCTCTGGGTGCAACTCCAGCAGCTAACACCCTTTTATGGGGAGGCGTTTTAAGGGCCCCAGAGAATCACCTTCCGTTGGCAGGATTTGGACTTCAGGAAAGCAGTCGGCCACTGACCTTGTACAGTGTGTTCCGAATTATTTCAATGTTCATTTCATCCAGGTCTTGTTCAGATATGCAGTCTTGGAAAAAGGCAGCTGGAAGGAAAGAAAAAGGGTGAGGAGGGCTGAGAATCTTCAGTGCACGTGCTCCTTCCCTGTCCGGCCAGCAAAAACTACAATTCTGTGCAGCCAATGCAAGTTACAGCGAGATTCTCCATCAACGGCATTTCCAAGGAGTGCTGTCAAGTGGAAACAGTAAGATCTCCCTTTAGAGGACAGAGAGAGCTGCATAAGCCATCTTAAAAGGCTGGGGAGCCTCTTTCCATGTTAGAAAAGCCCTTGAGGTTTGGATGCAACTGAAGAATGGATCCAGAATACTGGCTCGCTTCAGCTTACAGTGCTTGGAATGAGGGAAAACCTAAAGAAACATGTGAAAAACACTGCATGATCAGCAGGCAGGAGAACTCCAGAGGGCCAGATCAGGACTGTGCAAGGAAATCTTTAAAAAGACTGGCCAAAACGATTTCCTACCAGTAGTGAGTCACAGACTGGCGCCATAACACAACTGGCACCAGTTAATGTCCAGAAGATCCCAAACTGCTCCCAAACCAAGGTTCTCCCTTGCAGGAAGCAAGAGGCCCCTTCCTCACCCAGGGGCGTGTCCACAAGGATGGCGCTGTAGAGCTCGGCCGGGGTCTGGGCGATGTTCACGGCCTCCATCTGCTCGAAGCTCCCCAGGGGGTGACACTTGGGCACCAGCTCCGCAATGGAGCGCTGATGCAGTGTCCCCGTGATCAGGAGGATGACGTTGTCGATCATGTAGCTGTACCTGGAGAGAGGCAAACGGGGGACTGGCAAGACAGGACAAGGGAGCAGGGCCAGCTGCTGGTTCGCGCAAGGGGGCAGCCAGTCTCTACAAGGTGGGTCATTTTCATGGCGAGCTACTCCAAGGACTGCCAAAGGCAGCTTCTCATGTCATTCAAACCCAGCTGGGTGACTTTGTGGGTAAAAGCAATGGCCTGCAAGAGCAGCAAAAACCAAGAGTGCTCTTTGCGATCATGCGAGGGTTGCCACCCCTCTCCTTTGCCACTTCTCCGCCCACTGTTTCCATAGGACTAAGCCTGTCATTTCTGGTCGATAACATTCTGCAGTCAATAACTTTCCCCCACTTTCACCAGTGTAAGGAGCAAATGTCCACTGCTGAGAAACTGGCATAAATATTCCACCCGTTTTACTGCTCTGCCCTTAAGATTTGCACAGCGGCTTCCCCCATGTTGTCGGGCACATGCAGAGGGGAGGCTCTGCGGCTCAGTTCGGGTCAGATGGACTGCAACTCAGCAATGGCCTGTCAAGGAGGCAGGCCTGGCTCAGCAACCATGGACAGCAAGTACCTCAGCTCCTCACGTTCCTAGCCTTGACCTGGAGGAAAAGAACAGCGGCCCCTCTGCTCTCACACCCACTCAGCCTCTTCCTCTTCTTCAGCCATACTCACGTTATGAAGTCCAGGAAGCTGGCCAGGGGCTCGTAAGCGTGATTCCTCATGTGGCGGAACTCCACCACCATCTTCTCCTTCAGCTTGTCATCAATGACAGATACTGTGAGAGGAGAGGCTTCATTTGCAAGGAAGTTCCCATAGTCTGTGCTCTGGAGGTGAAGTTTCAGATCTGAAAAAGTAAAGTCAGCCTTCATGCTAGAGGCCGAACCTGACAAGATTACCTGCAACAGGGAAGCTTCCCCGGAAAAGCACCACGGGGCACAGAACAGTCATTCACACCTGACTTCATTTTGAAGGTGGACAACTTGTTTGTGCTGAGGGTCTGACCTTCGGCAGGGTCAAGCACCTCCTTCGCTCAGCAGGGACAGTGACTGTGCAAATCCTGTGGTTTCTGATGCAGGCTCCCAGGTGCCACAGGACCAATGGGATCCCTCCCCCCATTGATGGACTTGGATAGGTAAGATGATTTTTACCCAGGACGCACTAGTGGGTAATACAAGTCTGTCATTTTCAGCTTTGCATGTCAAATATGACCAGTCTATTAACGTACTGCCATTCGGCCACAACAGACATGCAAAGTTGAAAATGACAGACTTTGTTAAAATCTAGTTCTCCCTCGGTACTGAAAGCTCCTATTCATGATATGCTGACATTAATAACCAGAAGATATTGTGATGAGGAGTTAGTATGCACTGTTCACAGTGGCCAGCACAGTCCAATAAGCATAGCCAGAAAAAGCTACAGGGATTTGTGAAGCTGCATTGCAAGGGATCAAACCACCAGGAGCAAGACTGGGTGGATGCCTGCAAGCTTCGCTTTTGCTTGTTTTGATAAACTGCATTCAAATTTCACCACTGTATTCAGTGACCTGCATGTTACCTTTCTGACAGGCCGGATTTCCCCCCAATTATCCCCCAAACCAAAACTGGATTAATAAGAGGCTGATCAGGAAACTGACTCAGGATACGTCCACAAATGTTTATTACTAGGGAATAAATGTGATACAGAGAGTGAAAACGGGATTGTCCATGATTGCCTAATCAAGGGATTGCTCTTCAGCATTTCTGAATTGCAGGCTATGCCTTACACGGGAAGGCAGGAAGACTGAACAGACTCGCAGGGGACGGCGTTCCGCCGTTGTCCGAGGCCACTTCCTCACCCGGCGCTCCAGCCTCGGCCGGGGATCGCGGACAGCGCAGCGTTACGAGCAAGCCCCGACGAAAGGCGCCGCGACGGCGTCAGGAACTCTCCGGGGCCGACGACAGCTCCGGTCCCGGGAAGCCGGCCCTGGGGAGGGACGGAAGAGGGCACGGCGCCGAGTCCCGCCCGCCGCCCGCCGCCCTGCCCTGCCCTGCCCTGCCCTGCCCTGCCCTGCCCTGCCGCACCTTCGAGGCTCTCGCACTGCACCAGGTTGACGTAGTCCGCCTGGCTGAGGACGCCGGCCTTGAAGCCGCGCACCAGCCCCTCCAGGTAGCCGCTGTCCACGTTGAAGTACAGCTCCGGGAAGCACGAGAGCAGCATGGCAGCGGCGGCGCTCAGGCCCGACCGGCTCGGAAAACGCGGAGTCCGCCGACGCTCCGGCCCGCTGCGCTCACGTAACGCGAACCGGGCCCGCCGGCGGAAGTGTACAGAGGTAGGACGCCTAGACCGTCGCCCTTCTCCTGCCCTCCCGGAAGTGGGAGAACAGCCAGAGGGACCCGTAGGACGCCCTGGATCACGCAAGGGCCTCCGTGATTGACTGGGAAGGCGGCCCCGCCCCCGAAGAAGCCAACCTCCCGAGTCACGTGAGCGGTCCCGTGCGGTGGCGCTTCTAGAGTACGCTTCCGCCCGGACTGATGCTCCGCCCCTCCTCGCCCTGCTCCACGCGCGGACGAGGCGGCCCCGCCCACATCTCGCAGGTGGAAGCGGCCTCGGAGGCGCGGAAGCGTCTCCGGGAAGTGGTGCGTCTGAGGTCGCCCCCGCGGAAAGGGGTCCGAGGGCGCGCCTGCTACCGGCAGGGAGCGGCGGCTGTCAGGTCCCCGACGAAGAGCTGGGCAGAGCCGCTGCTCGGCGCCGGATCGCAGCGAAGCTCTTCCCGGCTCCAGGATCCCCACCGGGGGAAGCAGCCGCGCCAGGCCGGCCTGCCCCGCTGCCCCGAGAATTACGCACTTGTTCCTCGCCTCCTCGTTGCGCGTTTATTTCCTCCTTTTCGGCAATCGAATTGACGTCTCCAGGCGGCTCAGACCAAGAAAAGAGACAGGCCGCTCCCCAGGCTCGCTGTGCAAATGGCGCTGAGAACTTTTGTTGGGAAAGCACGCTGCAAATATTTGCCATGGTGGTGTCCGTCTCCCTGCTCACCCAGCTTGAGGAATAACACGAGGGGAAAACACGGGGTACCCGCCTCCCGCTGCTCGGGCCAGATGGGGGACTCGCCAGCCTGCAGTGCCTCACGCAGCCCCCTTGAAAGGCCTGGCCTTTATCCCCCACCCCCGGCCTCCTGGCTTGCCCATCTGCCTGCCCCACAGCTCCTCTAGCCCAGCCAGGACAATGTGCAGCCCCACGCCCGCCCATGCCCCTATCGGGGCCCCCCGTAGGCCGCTTGTTTTCTGAAGCAGGCACGCAGGAACTGGCACCACTGGGGCCTTGCTTGGTGGGAGGAAAGAGGGCCCCGGGCCTGTTCCTCCAGGCTAGTTGGACAGCGGCCCCCACTGACTGGCCGCACCCGTTAGCCTCATTTCAGTCGAGCTGTTTCAGTGGGCATGCTCTCCATAGGACTAATTCTGGATGTGATTCGATCTGGCAGTGGGAGCTTCAAAGAGCAGATAGGATGCATATCACGTCCCTGCCCATCAAAATGCAGTTTGAGGTACCCAGAGGGCAGGGTAAGGCTGCAGGATTTGGGAGAGGGCTGAAAAACAACTCCCTGGGCTTTTGGCAGCCTGGCTTTCCTTTTTAAAGAAAACACATGAGCCAGTAACTCCTTCTCTTAGGCTATTTATTAGGACAGGGAGCAGAGCATGCGGACCTCCTGCCACTCAAGCAGAGAGTGGAGAGAAGCTGTCCTGCAGGGGATGTGTTGGCTAGTTCCTGCCACAGGAGAAAGTGTTGGTAAACTTCTTGCAAAAGCAGTTGGCATTGAAGAAGCGACAGTAGCAGGCAGCACATGGATCACAGCAAGGGAGCTTGTGCCCCAGGCATGATTCCTGCAAGCGGACACATCTGCGTGGAGAGCGTGGAGAGCGCTCCTCCCGCCCCTGGGCCTGCAGGGCTGCCGGTGACATCTGCGAGGAGAGAGACAGGGAGTGTTGTAGCTCGCACAGGCAACTGGGAAAGGACAGAGAGCAACATGGCACAGAAGAGGTCTTCCATGACTGCAGAAGCATTTGGGAAGAGAGCCAGTTCTGCATGTTTGCAGAACTTTTTTATTCACCCACATTTTCCAGGAGATCCCCAAAGTGTGGGCCCCCATAATGTCCTTCCAAGTTTCCCCCGTGCTGCTTCCACCTCATATTCTTGGCAGAGAACACCAGACTTTAGTTTTCAAAGAGAAATTTATCTCCACATGTGTAGATGCCCTTAACACAACCTTTTTTGAGAGAGTTGTGGACAGTGGCATATATCAGCAGGCAAACACATAAGAGTTTAGCACTTTTGTGCTGGGCACCATTTTCTGTAACCTGTTATATCTCATTTTAGACTGCTATTTTGTTTAGCAATAAATCACTTTCCCAATTATATATTAAAAAAAACAAAATGGCAGCAAAATACCAACTCATAAGAGCTATAGCACTGTAATGTTACTTGAAGAAAGCTTAATGGCATTATGAGGGCATGGTACCATAGCATTTGAACCCTATTTTTAAAATATTTTTGGTTCCTAACAGTAACTGACTTGCTAAAACCAAGAATAATCTTCTGGCTACTGTAGGGATTGGGTGGCTGGTTTAGTTTATGTAGCAAGCCTGTAAAGCTGGAGCTGTCTCCAGCCTTGGACTCTGGCACCAGCCTTGAGCATGTGCCTGTAACTTGCCAAAATGGTACGTGTGTTTCTTCAGGTAAGCGCAGAAGGGCCTCTTCCTTCCGCAAGGAGGCGCTCAGCTGCCACTCATTTCAACGGATCGCCCTCAGTGGATGGTTCCCACTTGTCTAAGCAGGCTTGCCAAGGGAGATGGAAAAAAGGCCACCTCATTGGCCTGGGTTTCCGGGAACTGCCGATCCTGTGATGTTCTTTGACCGTGGCCTGCTGTCGGCGGCATGGGCAGGGGGCTTCTGGCGCCATGGCAGGCACGTGGCTCATGCACACACGAACACAGGGCCTCCTCAGTGTGGGCCGTGAGCACAGCAGCAGCTCCCCTCCAGGGCTGCCTGCCAGAATCCTGGATGCCTGAGCTGAAGTGCAGCTCCCTGCATGCAGGATGGGGCCAGCCTCTTTCCCCATTCAAATGAGTGCTCAAAGCAGGGGCGGTAACTCCCGGCCCTCAGCCCTGGTCTGGGTACTCTGCAGCACATGGCTCGTGCCACCAGATTCCTCCCATGTGCCCCTCCTGCTCAGGATGGGGGTGCAGGGGGTGGCTGTGCCTACTGCTCTCCGCCAAAAGCACTCAGGCCCCAGGAGCCTGTCCTGCCGCTTTGGGGGTTCCCAAGAGCAGTGTTCCACCAGGAAAGGTTGAGTGGGGAAACACTTCATTTTCCCAGTGTTTTAAGACCTGACTGTTTTAATTGGAGTTTTATTATTGAGTTTTTAGGACACTGTGTTTTAAATTGTTTACATTTTATATTGTTAAACTGTCCTGAGACTTCGGTAATGGGACGGTCTAGAAAAGTTTTTAAAAAATAAACTTTCCTAGTACAACTTGGAGCGTGATCCTGCTGGGAAAGTAAATGCATGGGCGGGGTGGGGTGGGGGATCCTTCCCTTCCCAATAGAAATGTTGGGAAGAAGGTAAAAGGAGAATGGTCTGGATCAGGCGCTGGGCAGTGCGTGCTGGTGGGCTTGCTGGCAATCCTGGCTGCCCCAGGAGCACTGTCTGCAGCCCGGGACTGAGGCGGTGGCTCACCGCTGCATTAATGGCTCTCGGATGTGAGTCTGGGGTAGGGTGCCCAGCCCTGCTTGAGACCCTGCAGGGTAGCCACCCCCAGGCTGATGCAAGGCGCAGTCGCTTTTGGGTTACCTGTGGCTCAGCCGAGCTGGGATCCAGCAGAAGGATGTCTCGAACTATTGGCATCTCCAGGACAAGCTGTTCAAGATCTGTAAAAGATGGGGGGCGGGGGGGGCAGCCGAAGAAAGCAGAGAAGCTGTAAGGCACCTGAGGAGCAAGTCCTAACTAATAGCAGTTTCTGTGCTGTGCAGCGGGGGTCTGGGTGAAACACATGCAGTGCCTGGCCAGTCAGTGCCAGGAGGAAGCCCCTGGAAGCACCTCACTGGGCATGAAATCTGCAAGTGAAGCGCCTCAGAACCCACTGGTGTAGGCGGCCGAGAAGGACAAGCTGGAGGGAAGATTTGAGCCGGCTGCTCACCCCACATGCTCTGAAGCTGCCGCAGCTAGAAACAAAGCTGAGTTTTAACTGGGAGAGGGAGGGGGGAAGCGAAGCTCCCCAAACGAGAGCAGGCACAGCACTTCACAAACGGTGGTGGGGCAGCTGATAGCATTTCAGCAGTCACCAGCTATGCATGCTTCTGCCTTGGGAGGGGCTCTGGGGAAAAAACTGCTTGTAACGTTTATTTTCAGCTGGGAAAGTCAGCAGTGGTGGGAACGCAGGAGCCAATCTGTTGCTCTGGCCTGCCCAGCAGTTTTGCCTCTGTTTTCTCATGTTTGCTTTTTTGTGGGGGAGCGATAAGAACCAGAGTGCCAGTTGAATGTTTTGAAGGTTTGGAGAATCTGTTGGATGCCGGAGGGTTTGGGCAAGGCTGCAGAATCATAGACCCAGCCGCAAGCAGGGTCCGAGGTTGTACATAGTGGTCTTGCTAGGCGCCTGGGAGGGAGGGGAGAGGGCAGCCGATGAGCCTCCCCTGAGCTGCGCTCAGCTGGTCCTGGAGGGGGCTGCCTTTCCCCCAAACCCCCAGAGGCACTGGCTGCAATGCTTGCTGGGGCGCAGTGACCGCCTGGGGCACAAGGCCTCCCCTCTAGCCATTGCAGAAGCCCCCTCTTGGCTGCACGGAGGTGCCCGGACAGGCAGACAGAAGGTGGCTCTGGGGGAACTGACCTGCGGGCGTCTCTCTGGCTGTCTGCAGAAGGCTTGGGTAGCCGGGCCTGCCTGCTTCGTCCAGAACAGGTCCCCCCTCATCCAGGGGGCTGTGGCCGTGGCCAGGGCTGGAGGCCTGGAGGGCCGGGATCCCCAGCAGGAGTCCCAAGGACAGCAGTAGTATCTTCAGCATGGCTTGGATCACCTGCATGCAAAGGGAAGGCGCTGAGGTGCAGGGGAGGCTGAGCACCACGCAGCAGGCCACTTAAGCACCGGGTCAGCGAGTGCCGAGCTTGCCCTGGCATGGCTGCGTTCAGCCCCTGTGCTTCACAATGGAGGATGAAGAGCATCATTCCTCGAGTTGGCAATGCACCCTCTTCCCAAGCGGGGCTGGGCCCAAGCACAACGCTGAAAGCCCTTCCCCTGTCTCGCACTGTGCTCTGCAGCCTGCCCCAACAGGGGAGGGGAGTGGGCATGCAGGGGCTTCTTTGGGTCAGAAGGCACATGCTGTTGGCACAAACAGGTCACTCTCCTCCCCAGGCTGCATCCTCCCAATGGGCAGGACTGCCCCTCTCGTCATTGTACCAAAGAGCCAGGGTGGCCACGCATGAATCCCAAAAAATGCATCACCCCAAAGGAGGGCCACGTTGTGCCCATCATGATGGATCGTGCCACCTGATCATGTTCCCTGGCAAGCTGCCCCTGACCAGAACCTATCCCTATTCCATGGAATTGCCTGTCCCCTCTTGAAGCTGTCCCATTTCGTAGCCACCACTCCATCTCAAGCTCATTAATGTCCTACTTGAGCTCTGTACTGTGCAAAGAAGTCCCCCGGTCTGTCCCGAACCTCCCACCATGGCTTCATCGCAGAATCCCCAGCACAGGGCAGGCCCCATCAGCACAAAAGGTGAAGTCTGGACTTCTGGCCCCAGCGTGGATAGCTTTGCCCTTGTCAACGCTGTGCTGCATTTTCCATTTTTATCCTGTTCAGCTATGCCAGAAATGCCTTTTTGGAGCACTTCAGGGCCCCCTTGTGTTTTTAGCACCCTGAACTATAGCCTCCTGAGATTCTGGGCTGCTTGTTTAGAATCCACGGCCACTGGAAATGCAGTCCAAGATCTCAAGGGGCTGCAGTTCAGTGTCTTAAAAGCAAAGGGCACATGCCTTGTTTCTCGTCTAGCCGTGTACTTGGCAGCACAGAACGGCCTATGCAGAAATCCCACCCACACAGCCTCATAGGCGTTCCGCTTTCCTGGGACTGTTTTGGGATATTTGCTTGGAAGACTGGGGTACCTAGGATCAAAAGGTGGGGGTGGAGGGTTCCCTGCACAAAGCGCTTGGGGTTTGCTCCAGGCTAGTCACCCCCAACATCTGCTGCAGAGAGGCAAGCTGAACCACTGTGCCCGAGTCCAGTCTGTGGGAAGGGAAAGCGGGATCTGGGTTGTTTGAGCCTGCCTAAGGAGTGGAACTTGAGGAGAGATGGCAGTTACAGCCCCTGGAAGTACGAGGGTCTGCTCTACTGTACTCCTAGCTCAGCCTGCTCTTTTCTAAATTTGCACCCTGGGTTTTAGAGCTCAATTAATATGGGAGATTTTAATTAAATTGATTGTAACCCTAGACCTAGGCTTCTGCTTATAAACGGCATGAAGGTGAGAGCTGAGGGCACACTCAGCTTGAACTGAAAGCCAAACCCTGCAGTTGCATCTTGTAAGAGGGCTTTCCCACTCGTGAGGTCTGCCCCGAACAAGAGTTTCCTTTTGGATGTAGCCTTGGCTGCTGGCAGAGGTTTAATGGGGCCACTCGGGCAGCGTCCTCAGCTCCCTGGCCTGCTGCCAGATTTAACTCCTGGAATGCAGCCCGGCTTTCAGGTACAGCAGATGATGAACATGCTAGTCCAGGCACTGTGTCCTTATCTCTCCTGCCTGCACGGTTCCCTTGGCAGTTCGGCACACGGGTGCTGCACCGACCCCACCCCCAGGTTCCTGGAGAGGGGTTCCCGAGCTTGCTTAAAGCAGGCCTTGCCCCAAGACTGCCAATTGCTTTGGCTGTTTCCTGCCCCTTTCTTTTATCCCCCCAGCAAGAAGAGAGACACTCAACACCAGCTGGCTTGATTTGTTCAGGAAGCCACACTGTGACCCAGGCATGCCCTCCAGCTGGAGACCAAGAAAGGGAGGTGCCCTGCGCACCAGCAACATTCCAAGATTTCTTCCCAGAATCCAAACCACATACTTTACCCCCACCCTGTTCCCTCTGGAGCAGTGTCGCGTCCCCCTCCTTCCACGAAGGCGCTCACGGAAGTGTCGGTGGCAGAAGTGCCCGGCTAGCGGCTTGCTGAGTGCATGGAAGCTGCATGAGCACCGCAGCTAATCGGGGGCTTCAACCTCCAGCTCCCCCATCAAGGCCCACCTGCTAGCTAGAGCTGTCCAGAGGAATCTGGGACACATGGAGATGCCCCCCTCTTCTTCTGGACAAAGTCACGTGGCTCACAGTGCTGCCCTGGGATCAGGCAAGCTCCTCACTGAGCACGGCGTGCCCAAGCTCACACCCCGCCAGGTAGTTCTGCAGCCCCTCCATCCCCCCCCCCCCCGCAGCAGCTCCCCTGCACTCTGCTTCTCTGGTGGGGGTGGTGGACTGGGGTTTGCTGCCTGCTTCCAGAGGCCCTCTGGCAGGAGGCAGAAATGTACTGTACCTGGACGTTGCCGTCTGACTCCGCGACCAAGTGCCGTAGGTCTGCTGAGCCGCGGGTTGTTCGAGAGTTTATATTAATTGCTCATAATTAATTGGCTCAGCCACATGACAACTGCCTAAATGGGTGGGCGGGCAGCTGCTTGCTCCCTCCTCCTGCGTTTTACTCCCCCTGCCTTCACCATGGTCAGAGGTGACCTCGCAGTCCCTCGTCGCACCCCCCTCCAGCAAGATCACTCTGGAAACTCTATGCTTACTTCTGGGCCCTTCCAGGGGTAGCCAGATCAAAAGACACAAAAGAAGGTGCCAGTCCCGAAGCAGCAGAGACACCCCTCCCCACCTGAGCTGGGGAAGCCGGCAGCTCTGGAGGAAGAGCACTCCGGCAGCAGGTGGGAGCGTGGCAGGTGCCACGAAAAGAAGGAGACGACGGAGGAGCTTGTGCAGGATTGAAGGCCCTACTTTTTAGCAGCGGAGAGCCACAGCAGCTTTCTGCTGTTGGAGAGCTGGAGCCACAGACAAGGGTGGCGTGAAGAATGCAGCCTCACCCGTCGGGCTGGTGCTGGTCCTGCCGCTCAGTGGACAAGCCCTGTCTGGGCACAGTCCACAGGGGCGTTTCTGTGCCTCCAGGAGGCCTCCTCTGGTCAGAAAAAGCCGCAAGGGAATCCTGCCATGAACCCCTCCACACAGTCGCTCAGACGCAACTTGCCCTGGTTGCGCGTGTCTTGCTCCCAGCCAGGTCGCTTGGGGCTGCAGTCCCAGGGAACTTCCTGCCAAAGGGCACTCCCTCGGCCACAGGGCCACCAAATGGAAACCCCTGAGACACTCAGGCAGCCCTGACTTGTGTCCTTGATCACGTGGAGTTGGCACGTGCCTGTGAGGTCCGAAACTACTACTGAGGCCACACCTGGCACCATACGTCCTGGGCACACTTGACACTCTGTCGAACCGCCATGGAATACAGACCAGGGCTTAAATGGATGTCAGCTTTATGACCAAATGCAAGACACAAATTATATGCAACGTTGGCATGGCCTGGCAGCAGTTGGTGAGAGGGACACTCTGAAGCCAGGACCAGCAGCCGCTGCACTCCGTCCACACAGCAAGGCGGTGAAGAAAGAGCCACGGGAATGTCGGAAGCCTAAGGGAGGCCGAAGGGGCTGCAAGTGGGGCTGCTGTGGATGCTGAGGTTGCACTGCCACAAGAGCTGGACACACAGAGGACCAAGGATGTGCATCCAGTGAGGGAGGGAGGAAACCTTATTTACATTGAGTCTTATGGGGAAATTTGACTTGGCTCACGACCAATTTGGGTTGCAACCAGAGTCGTGGAATGGATTAAGTTCCTGAGCCAAGGTACCACTGTATTCTGATGACTCTGCCAACACGTGGCGCATCGGTCAGGTGTTCATAAAAGGATAAGCTTGGTTGTGTTGCTCTGCCCCCTGCACTTTTTAGAAATACCAGATAAGGGATGATATGTGATTGTTTGGGTAGTTTTTAAAACATGTGCAAGCTAGTTTGAATAGTTTGTAAAAGTTGTAAGGCATTTCCTTCCTAACAGGACTGACCTAGGTGCAATATGCGAGATCCAAGATGTCTTATGTGCAGTGTTTGAATAACTGTGGGGCAAAGGACACGGGCAGTGGCATGAGTGTGGCCGTGAGCAGAGTGCCCAGAAATCTCCAGGCGTCACTGAGAGCTGGCCCCAGGCGCCCAGCCCAGTCCGGGATCCAGCGCTGGAGAGCAGGACTCTTAACAGTGCAAGGAGATGCCGAGTCCACCCCAGACGGGGGCATCTGCATCAGTTTGCCACAGGGAGGGCAACCTTCCCAAGTTTGCTCGCCAGAGATTCTTTCACCATCAGACAAACCAAAACAGGAGTCCAGATTCTGGAGAAGTGCATAGCCAGTTTCTAAATAGAGAAGTATCTCCCAGAGAAAGTCTTCAGGCTTTTGCAAGCACAGAACTCTTCTACAGTTGAGTACTGCAGCTGGAAAAATAGAACTCCGTATTTTTGCAAATGTTTTGGAAAGCACTCTGCTAGATGTTTCTGATCTTCCTCCTCTGAATTCCAGAAAATCTTCCAGGCCTTGTGGGAAATCATCACTGCCTCAGAACGGACGGCCACATCCTGGCTCTGCTCTTTGGGCAGCCCATTTCCAAAGCTCTTCAGCAATTGTTTGTCTGGGAGGCAGAAGAGGATTCTGGGAAGAGATTAGTGCCATAATGAGAGAGGCAAATCCAAAGTGCCCTGAGAGCTTTTCAATCTGCAGAAGGAATGCCACGTTGATGCACTTCCCCAGCATTCAATAAAGGGCTTAATGCTCCTCCATACAGCCATTTCCTGACAGAGACAGGCTCAAAAATAGCAGGAACACGTGCCAGTTGAGCACGCTCGGTCTGCCAGGCACGCTTGCTCTTACCTGAAGTCAGAAGGGATGAGGTTGCTGGCATTGGGCGGGGGCATAATTATGCCTAAAGACCGGTGCTTATAGTTCTGGGAAAATATCCCCCTGCACAGGCACATTTGAGAGGAAAGCAGGGGATTTTTTCCCAAATCTGGGGAAATACTTTGGAAAATGCACTCTCACAGCCCATCTCCGTTATGCTAGCCACCACCAAAATGCCCCACTTGAGCCCTGGACAAGCATAGGGAGAACTGTCACTGCTGTTCCTTCCCTTGAGCTCCCTGGTGAGCCCTTGCCCCTCCAGGAAGCATGGGTCCGGGTTCTGGGACTGGATCGGAGGTCAGCCTACCTGCAGCACGAAGGCACCCACTGTTCAGAGCAGGGAACCCTGCCCGATTGGCCAGCCATGCCATTTGAACAGGGGCTGCCAAGTCCTCCATGAATTGTCCCACAAGTGTCTCTGCACTAGTACAAAGCGCCTTGAGACAGACATGGTTGCTTGATGGACCTGACAGTTAGCTGCCTCTTTTTGCTGAAGATCTCCAACAATCTTTATCAATTTAAAACTTTTGTAGATCGTCCCATGACCGAAGTCTCGGGATAGTTTAACAAAGATCTTCAAAAGTTTCACTCGGCTTCAGGGGAGAGATGCTTTTCCACTGGGGGTGGGCCATGCCACCTGCTCCCTGCTCCCTGCTCACAGACACTAAAAGCTGGCTGGAGCTGCAGCAGGAGAGGGGCTGCTCCCAGGAGGGATGCCTGACCTCGCAGCAGTTGCTGGCAAGGGGTTACTGCAGCGTGAATCAATGCAGAGAGGTGATCTCTGTCTAGGAAGGACCTGGTTGCTGTATCAGCCTAAACAGATTAAAGATGCTCTTGGCCACCCTGTTCCACTGAGCCAAAGCTGGCTCCAGGAGGGGCTCCCCTCTCCGGGTTTATGTGGAAAGAGGTGGTCTTAAGATGGGGGAAAGGAAGGCCAAGCTGCCCCCAGGAGCAGCTGAAAGGGAGGCAGGCTAATTTTCTGAGCACCATCCACAGCTAGGACAGCCTCCTGAACAGGAAAGGTTTGGGGGCTGCACGGCATAACCCAGCAGTCTGTGTGTGGACATCCAGAGTGTCCCTCAGGAGCCAAAGTGTCTCTGTCCAGCTTGTGGGCTGCTCTTTTCTGTCACGAACAGGCCAGAGAGCAAAAGGGCCATGGGAAGCCATGAGCATCATGGCAAAGGATGCAGCCCCCCCCCCCGCGCCCACCCAGCACGTACACACTCACATCCCCCATGGCTGCGCTGAAAGCTTTTTAATCTGCTGGAGAAACATCAGGCATATTTTCTGCTCCTGACATTAAATAAAGGGCTAAATGAAATCTCTGCATTCCACATGGCCACTTCCAGGAAGAGAAGCCCCAAATAGCAGCTGAAGTACCTGGTCAACAAGGACTGTTCTTCTGAAGCTAGGTGGGTGGTTGTGGAGTGAAAGGAAAAACACAGCGGCCTGTCCTTGGGGGCTGGTTGCTTTCATCAGAGGTGCCAATCTCCCTCCCAGGAGCAGTGCTGGCCCTGTTTTACCCAGGCTCATGTGCCCATGGCAGGTGGTTGAGCAGTATGAGCCCCCCATGTGCTGCCCTCTTCCCACTCCACAAGGAGGGCCCTTCATTGCCCCCACCCCCTGCAAACCACCTTGCGCATTTGGGAAGACACAAGATTTGTGGGGAATGCAGGCCTTGCCTCTGGGGAGAATCCGCTTCTGGGCGAGCTGTTCTCCAGGTGAACAAGGTGCTCCCCCCACACCCACTCCTTTAACATCTGGCACCCCCCCCCCCCCCCCCGAAGTGCAAGTGTCCTCTCAGCCTGGGGTGAAGGGAAAGACCAGCGCTGATTCTGGCTGTGCAACACTCCCGCCTTATGCAGAGCCTCCTGCTTGCCTGCCAGGGGCATCATTTGCCAGCTCAAGACCCACATCTCAGTCCCCACTCCCTGCCCAGGCTTTTCTGGGAACCTCTCCAAATGGTCTGTTTTCCTGTAGGAGCCAACAGAAAGGCAGTGGTGGCAGCGGCCTCTCCAAATCAGCCCTCACGCCAAGCCAAGCCAAGCCAAGCCAGTCAGCAAAAATAAGCCAGTTAGCAAGGCCACCCTGCCCCATGACTCGGTGTCAGGGAAAGGAGAGTGTTTGCAAGCAGCCAAAAGGAGTGTATGTGCAAGGCTGCCCACCCTGCAAGAGGCTCGGCTGACCAGTGGCCAAGTCCAAACGAGGAAGCTCTGCTCATGCTGAGAAGCCCGCAGGGTGGACCACCCAGCCTGGCCCAGCCTCTTAGTGCCCTTGCAGCCTGAGGGTTTGCCTGTTCACCGCGTGAGGGAGGGGTCTCCAGTTCCCCGCTGCACAGGCTAAGTGCTGGGGGAGGTTACCTGTGTGGGTTTCCAACCCTGACCATTTTTCCCCCTTAGACTTGGGGGGGGGGGGGGTTCATGCCGCGCATGTTCCTACAGGAGGCAAGGACAGCTGCTCTCTTGCGTGGCTTTGGCAGGGCCACCGGTGTGGGGGCGAAGCTATCGGGGCTCCTCGTCTTCAAGATGCGTGCAGCATATGGGCAGACAGGCTGATGCTGACCACCCACTGCTGGCAGAGGGACAAGGGCGGCAGGGCTGAGCCGCTGCCTGCCAGACTGTGGGCTGGCCAAGGCGCCCTGGGGGCAATCGAAGTGCAGCCCCAGCCCAACCCTTTCCCCTGATCCGTGAGAAGAGTAGTTCGTGAGGTGTCCCCGACCCCCGCCCCCGGTGCTGGCTGAACTTTGCCCAGTGGGCATGTGGGGCTGGACTCCACACCTTCCCGGGTTCCAGGGGCGAGCTCAGGGCAGGGACTGGGCCGGGAAATCGGACGGAGCAAGGAAAGGGGAGGGGGCGCGGAGGAAGGGCCCAGCGGGTGGGGGGGGCGCAAGGTTGGCGCTCGCAAGTCCGCCAAAGGCACCGCGCGCTCCCCTCCGCGACCCCGTCAGACGCGAACGGACGGGCTGGAGTCGCCGGAGCCACTGCGCAGTGGCCCTGCCTGCCCGGGCCTCGGGTGCTGGTGGCGCGCGGCGCCGTTCGGTCCCGGGCTCCGCGCCGGGAAGGGCGGGCGCAGCGCCGCGCCGCGCGGGCCGGGATGCCGGGCGGTGGGCGGGAGCGAGC